TACAGAAAGATATACACCTATTACTCCGTCGATATAATACCGGGCGCGTACGCAGAATAACGATAGTTATTACTGTGCACCGTCAACGCAGTTCGGTTGTGTGGCGGGTATTCAGGTGCAATGCGCTCTCGATATCTGTAATTCGCAAAATTGGCAGACACCGATTTCGCCTTGACTATCGTCTAGGCAAAACTTCCAATCTTTCAGCACTCGATACTCAAACCATAAAGTGTGAGCTATCTGCTTCAGATCAAGTACTACAAACTTGTACCGATGCCCGCGAGTGTGACTTGGTGCGCACACGTGTAGCAGCGAGCTCAGTATTGTTAAGTCACTCACATATAATATCCGGAGCAGCATTAGGAGGTCCATTTAAAACCGACGATACAACAAGCCCCAGTATCGTGCACTGGTCCTTGTACGACATATCTCTTAAATTGGGAATGAGTTGGGCAGCCACATGCCGAACACTTCCTAGTCACACTGTACCTCGTCCTGGATGATCGGACATTAGGCGAGTGAGCAGCACTTGAGCAACACTCGGTATTCCCATCTGATCACCCATACAATTATTAACCGGACTCAGCATTGTTTTAGCTTCGATGCTCGGACAACCAGCGTCGTATTGTCGCGGCCAACATTACACAGGTTGTCACCACGACTGGAGTTAAGATGTCTGAAACAACATGTTTGAACTTGGCAACCGATAAACCAAGCAGTGTTCCCAAGTATCGCTGAAGTACCGCTCTCCCTGCATTACACCAGGTTTGTCGCGAACTGCCTCGGTGGCGAAGTCAACAGAGATGAGTTCACCTCATATCGGTGGGAGCTGGGAATTGCAGAAGTACGCCATGAGATCAATTCGAACGTAATCCCAATTGGAAAAATAAAGCTGGGTGGGCAATTGCATCGGGCGCTACTGTTCAAAGTAAGTCGAATGAAGTCATACAATGATTATTAACTCACAACTGGAGAACAAGAGAAATCCTTCATTTCTAGCCTCGGAAATGAAACAAGCATTCTAAACACCATGTCCTCAGAGTGTGTTCATCTGAACAAGTGAAAAGAGATTGGACGCCGTCAAAGTAAGGCAAATAACTTTTCTATGAACATAGTTGAATATCATTTTCTTTTGCCAGCTAGATAGATGGTTAGGAGGCTTTTCAAGTTATTGTTCTACTGTTTTGACATCCGGTAATCGGTCGAATGCTCATATTAAAATAGTCCAGTATGTTGCTCAACTATGAGTAAAGCACAGAAGCGACTTGGGTCATCCGGTCGCCAGAACAAGTCAAGACAGAGCTTCAGGCACCTAAAATGAATGAAGATTGAGTCATAACACACGTCTTCCTCTCGGTAGCATATACGGCTTGATACATCCGGATAAGAAAGCGATTGATAAGCAGTATAGACAGTAAAATAAACGCAATGCAAAACCGAAGGCAATTCACTTGAACGATTGAGTTCAGGACTCGCAAAGTCACCAGATGTGGGACGACTGACGAGTAGTAGGTACCTAGGGGACCACAAATGGATTTGCACCTTCATCTACTCAATGAAGTTGACGCCTACTGAGTGTTTTCGAAGCAAGGCTTGTACACAAACAGCGTCAAAAAAGATCGGCTTCGAATGTCACTAAATTGGGACAAATATCTAATAACATATGCAGTACTCTGAAAGGATTATTCAGTAGACCAGGGAACAGTATAGAGGAGCAATATTTCCAGTGGAATGACACACACAGGTTTTGATAAATCGCAACAGTAGGTAGCGACGGACAGAAACAGTTCGTAGAAGGAAAAGTGTGGAAAGCTTCCTGGAAATTATGTAAATACCTAATCGATGTGAAGTGCCTAAGATAGACGTGTCTCAGTGGGACACAGATATTTCGATGAAACACAGAAGAGCAATCCCTCACCATCGATATGAAGTTCAGGGTGCTTTATGAGGATTGATGATAACGAACTCTATGGTGTAGTGCAATGGGAATGCTCTAGCGCGTTAATGGGTTAAGTGACAGATCGCGAATTTTAGATAATAATACGAAAATACTCAAAAAATTTCTAACTTGACAACTGAAGCCATAGTTGAATGTTTGCTGCTCAGTTAGACCAGTTAGACTGACTCCTCAGGGATAGGTCTCGAGCAGAAGTAAGCGGAAAGCAATACTGACAGAATAACCTTCCGGATGCAGTGATGACCATTTGCCACCAAACTGACAAACGTTCGGCAAATCAGTCCTGGTAACTAAGAGGTTATGAAAACGCGACATTACCGTATAAAATAGAGCTGAATACAGTCAGAAAATAGTTACCAAGTGCAATGTGATAAACTGGGTGAAGGAGACCAAGCGCATGGGGCTCGGCTGGTTATGCGACATTCTGATGGGTAGGATGTGCAATTCTGATCCGACTGGTAATGTAGCCTCCGCGGTCAAGACAAACAGCTTGAGGTTTCTGGCTCAATAATTCACTTCGTGCGGCCTCCGAAAATATCGTACACCGAGGTAGACACAGTCAGCGGACATACGAGGTAGAACTTAACCAGCATAGGTGATCCAAGTTTTGAAATTTATCATGCTATACACCAGAAAATTGATGTTAATGTGTGGTGGTTGTTTAACTGCTTCTAGCTGTCAGAAATTGCATTTTAAGACTATGTGATTCTAGAAATCAGCTAGGGGAGAAAGATAATCCCAACTATCGTACCGCAATACAATCTGATTAGATACCAGCAGAAAAGGCCACAAAGCAACACAAAATTGTTGTCATGTCTTGTTTTATTCTATACACTGATGGCGAGATCGTGTTTGGAGAGAGGCGCTAATTGGGTTGGGGACGGAGAAAGGAACCCACAACACAAATGTCATTGGAGTCGGTTCTTTGCCACGTCAAAATTATCCAAACAATCTTGTTCATCGTCCTTAAGACCCTGAACTGGCACTAAATTGGGAGTGAGGGTTTACAGCCTTCGTGACTAATTAATCGGTTGGCCCCTTTCCGTCTCCTATCCAGACACTGATCGTGGCAAGCAACCTACGCCGCGGGAATCGACGTGGTAGCAGACGCAACACGTGACCCAGTCATCGGAGAGTGAGGCGTGCAATAACGGCGCTGAACAGCGAACTGGCTCTTCCTGCGCCACAAACAACGTAGCGGATACGTACAACGTTCACGTGATGTTCCTAGCAGTGGGTGAACGTTAGCAGTCTTCTCGTTTGTTGATTGATGGGTCAGATTTCACAACCGTAGGGGACGTCTGAACGTAAGGTTGTATTGCAGACTCTACCACTCAGAGCGAAAATGATGTTTCTAAGACGCCGGAAGTAGAGAACACGTACCAGAGTGAGTGAGGAGTAGGATTGCTCAGCGGAAGACACGGCAATGTGCGAAGGAACTGATGGAAAGTCAGGTAGCTGTGGAGTGGCTTTCTCGGAGACAAGAGAATCTGGGACCACCACAGAAGCTGTTGGAGTTGCAAACAGCACGGTGGATTTGCGAAGTTGCGCTGACATTTGGTAACAAAGATTTAAATGTGAACCCTGTCCTCGATTATGCCGATGTTGTCAACACCATATTTAAGGATAATGATGGCCCATTTTCTCCCATTTTACGAATCATGATGGCCAAATGTCCCAGTATGACGAACAATATTGGTATAGTGGTATTCCAAAAAGATTAACAGGCACATACTCAAATTGGTGTTGTGGCACTAGTGCAGAAGACAACGATTAGGGTTTCTCAGTTTCATGGTGGACGAGTGCTTAGTAGACAGTCTTGTGTTAGTTACTGGACTAAAAATGGAAAAGATTGCCGTTGATCCGGCAGCAGAAAATGAAGCCAGTGACATCTAAACGATGCGCCGTCGGATGATGTCGCCTAACGAGTTGGAGTTTAAGCAGTCAACTCTGCTCTACTAATGATCACATAAGCCGCATCTCGTAACCAATTGCATTCTATCTGGACAAACTGTTCCCAGTAGAGTGATTGGTGTTCGGTGGTATGAGGTTGACTTTGACGTGGGGCAACAGGAGCTGCGAGGAAGTTATCTTGTCGGTGTCATGCTTGTTTTCGCACGGCAACAGGCTCTTTATGGCCGCGCGCTACTAGCAAGGTGCAGATGTCTTGACCGCGAAAATATCCTCAGAGTACTTGGGTTTAGCATCATGACTCACCTTCCCACCTTCTCCTGATTACTTAATAATAGAATAATTAAACTTGCATTACAGTGAAGTAGTATGGGGTGCTGATAGTATGCTGTTGTTGACGACGAAATGTTTACACCATCCACGGTATGTTCTTAGAGCATTCGCCCTTTTGCTGTAGGAGGCTGAACAAGTCTCGCCACCTCTCTCCGTAACGATGTATTCTTTACGATAGAATCGCGATTCTGTCATGGTCACAAGGATCGAATATCGTTTCGTTCGTGAAAGCTGATTGTACGCTTGTCGAATGTCTGATTTCAAAGGGCTAATACAGAAAAGTCCCAAGCCAAAACGCTGATGGTCTCTCGAGTTGATAGCTCATTTTGAGTCGTTACAATATGGCTAATTTTTAAGTTTCAACAGAATCTGACTTAACAACCCAGGGGTAATCAGTAAGCAAATTGCAGCAGTCCATGTGCACCAGAAGTACCGCCGGGTTAAACTGAGCACCACAAGTGCCGAACTGGTCACAGAATCAAGAATTTATCTGTCAGTTTTTAAATGGCAAGTGTATCCGATAGTCCGTCGCATTTTGTAACGAAAAAGCCTCGTTTTCTTCATTGCAGTTCCTCGCAGACCGAATCGGTTTGCCGACAAATCTGACTCGCGGAGAGTACGGCCGGTCGTACAATGAGATCCTGTTACAAAATGTGAGTTCAAGTGAAGATATTTACTCAGCATCGCCCTAGTTTGACACAGATGGGACCACCGTTGACTAGACCATATTTGCACTTGCAAGTAACAAAAACGGCGCATCGACTGTATGCACATGAAGGGAGTGTGTCCATTTGGCCACACCGGCCTAGTTGGCCATTCGTCTTATGTAAAAGGATGGTTTGGAACGCGAAGTTTTATGGAAAGTGTTATCTTGTAATATCTGAGGACAGGTCCCTTACGTTTTCGTACTCAATGAAAGATGGGAAGAAAGTTGAAATTGGGGAGTGTGAAAACATGCAGAAACGAATAGCATCGCGTGAACATTAGATAAACGACTCCTTCTTGGAGGCTAGTGTCAATCAGTCGGGATGAAACCGTAGGGAAAATATGGACAAATGCCGTCATCTTGTGCTTAGCGTTTCCAGGGCAATAGAACGGATGAGCATGAGCAAATCGATGCGTACCAATACGCCGTCTGGCATCCTGAGTCCAGATATGATACGAAGCAGGGCCGCTCCTTCTCCGTAAGCATGTACACAAATTAAAATTGAGTTGCAAGGCCAGCATCAAATCATTGTCAAGCTGTTTGTATCAATCACACAGGGATCTGATTGACGGCTAACAGTTTCAGAATTATCTAGCACTGCAGATACGAGAAGGTACAGGAAGACTGGACTCCACGCAAACACACCCCCCATATATATATATATATATATATATATATATATATATATATATATATATATTTATATACTGAGGCTGATGTTGCATTCTTGATGCTTCTTCACCGCAGTTGGGCTAAACCAACTTACACCTAAACTAGGTCTTTTTAAGCTGGATAAATTACATTCCGCTTATTTGGTTTGTTCTGCCTCCCTGAATAATGTTCCATTAACTGGCCACGTTGCTTACACTAATTGCGCTTATCTTCGGTAATTTTGTTGCGTTTGTAGCATTTTAAGTAACTTGTGGACATTTCTTACTTATCACTGATTTGTTGCTAACCAAATTACTTCATATGGTAATTTAGCGAAGAGTTATGCCACCGTATCTGTATGCATTATTGGATTTATTTTATTTCAGCTTGTCGTTTAAAGTGAATGGCTGTTGTTTGATATCCCTGGTATGGTTGCGCTTGATGTGAATGTTGACAAGGTGCCTACCTGTCTATTACCCACTACATCGTTCATACTGGCTCCAGGAGACAGTTGGTCGTTGCTGGAGGGGACGGGGTGCACGGTCCTTGTTGCCGTGCTAGGCTCAAAGAGCGGTTCCATGCACTCAGTGTGGAGCGGACTACGGTCAAGCCACCGCCTTGTGTGCGGTTGATTCCCCAAATAAAGCGTGCTTGTGTTTGCCTGTGAAGGAGTGTGGGCCGGCTCCGTTGATGAAACGTGGTTCCCATCCGCATGCCTCCCGGTCTTATTCCTTCGGGTTTACACTGGATATGGGGTATGTGTGGTTGGAGCTGTGGGTGGTGCAGCGCAAGCCATCCATGGTCCCTCTGTAGGCGCAGGCATCCTGTGGCTTGCCACAGTGACAGGCAAATCCGAAACCGGATGCCGCCAACCGTATATATATATATATATATATATATATATATATATATATATATATATATATATATATATATATATATATATATAAATATATATATATATATATATATATATATATATATATATATATATATATATATATATATATATCCGTACATTTACCGACAAGCGGTATACGGAAGCTTCAGTTACAGTTCTTACATTTTCGAACGCCTCTTGCGGTACCGTTTCGATTCGTAAAGACCGTCACTTCACTGTACTTGCACCTGATTGGTCTATTGTGCGTCAGTTACATTTTTCAAAGCTGCTGTACAACCCCATATAACGATCCGTTCTAGCTGTCAAAACCCTGGTTTATGCACGGGTAAGCTTTCTGACGAACGGCCCTGTTCTCTCTGAGGATGCCGGTCTTAAAGCGAAGAGTGGTTTTTATTGCTCAAGAGGGAGTCAGCGTAGCGAAGTGATCAATATCGTTTGTAGGGCGGAGTTCACGAACTAGAATACCAATGTACTGAGGCGAGTTGATATTTAGAATGCAAATCTCATACATTAGGGTGAGAAGACGATTAAGCCACAGATTGAATCCATCACTTACAACAAGAATGGCTAAGAAATAGAACATGTCCGAGTTCAGGTCCAGCCCCGGGGTTAAAATCGTGGTTTATGTTTAAATGAGTAGGGTCAATATCCTCTTAAACCGTGATTCGTTAATCGCACGCGCAGTGAAATAAACTGAGGTAAGCCCTGCTGTGCTCCAAATGTGAGTGATTAGAAGAATACTTTCGTTACAAGCCCACTGATATAGGTGAAATTTGATTTGGTTCCGAAGCATCACATCATGTTCACGGGATAATTGTGATTAATGAAATAAGAGACGCATCAAAGTGTCCACAATTTTGGTATTTTTTTCGCATTGTAGGACTCACACTTTCCAATAGAAGCCTACACTGTCGATCTTATGTTCGAACCTGGAAGGTTGATGAAATCCACATCCACCGAAGCGCGTGTGTACACCACGGTGTTGTAAACAGATGGATCCTATATTTGATACGCAAAATCTCTAGAATTTCAATAAGTTTTTTTGTACTAGACTTTCAAGAATAAACAAATTACAACCAGAAGCTTGTGGTCCTGTGTTACCATTAGCGAAATTGTGGATAACATCAATCACTCCGTGACTGAAAGAAATGGGGAAGTGAAAAAACCGACGCTGACCGTAGGATGAATGATTTCGTGAGCTCACAAAATGTCGTCCTAGCAGTCACCATCGTGAGGAGGAAGGGAACGAAGTTGGTGAAGTACAGCGAGACATCGGTGGAGTTGACTGTGCTTATTAGTGCGAAGGTGGGAAAAATGTAATGCAACTAACCGGAAATGGGGACGCCGGTCAGAACGCTCATCAGCTAGTGTAAAGGAATCAGTGACCTCTTAGTTACATGGAGGTAGCCGATGTCCAGACTCACAATTGAGGAAGCAAGAAGTACCAGAGTTCAACACGACAACTGTGGTTGTTGTACGAAAAAACTCCACAAGAGAAACAGCATTCAAGAATCTCGTTTGCAATTAAATTGAAGTAGTGCCCGACCCGTAAACGAAATTGATGACTTGGTGAAGCCAGGAAATGGGGGAAATTTGACAACTCCGAGGCAGCTTGGCTGTGTATCTGTTAGTAACGAGGACGATGTACCATTAAGGGTAAGTGATACTCCGATCGTCCAGCTCAAACCTCACAGTTACAATCAGGTGGTGCATTGGTTGAAGGCAAATCGTTCAAACTTAAGCTGTCAATTGAATTCAATTACCGAATACACCACGGTCGTCCACGTGCAGGGCCTTTAAATCAGTCGTTGCCTTTTCACTAGAACATCGCTCTTACTTTACCGGCTACGGATTGCTCAGTTTTCACTTGGCGTTCTGAAAGTTTATTCCGTTAGACTAGTTAGAAGTCACTAATGTAATCCTCCGCCGATTTTGGAAAATGGACTTTGAGATACTGTGCGAAGTTCTCAGAAAGCGTTGAATAACCTGATGTACTCTCATTTGGATCCATAACCTGGTCTTTGAAACTGTACCTTCAACAGGACGCAGATTCGGGATGGTTTACTTGAGTGACGCTTGCGCTCCTGATGCCATATTTCCAACTGTACAATTTTGCATTTTTAATGGTGTCGCTTTAAAACATCCGCAGTGGGTATTGGTAAACGCGGAAAATGCACCGACTCGGGTACATAAAGCTTACGTTAATTTGAAGTTGAAATGAGATCAATGAATAACCAACGTTTCCACCGACGTGGAGGAAATGACTAGTCGCGAATGAGATATCGAGATAGAAATGAAGGGGGCTTCGCGTAGTGTTGTTCACAGCATCTGCCTAGATTTCACTGTGTCCTGTTACAACGCGGTTAGTTCAATAGCCGTTGGTGTTGACGACTATAATCCAGTTTCCGGTCTCAGCCCCGTTCCCATGCTCGAAAATAGTTGGTGGTATCAACATACAGAAAAGTAAGAACGAATGGAATTGGTTTTGTGATAATGGGTGCATGATTTTGAGGAAATAAAAAAGTAAAAGCGAAAGAACCGGGCGATTCGACCATCACAACGATCATCATCTTGTTCGTAAGATATACATTAGAAGCGGCATCGATTGCGAAAGAATGCTTCTGGGCGAACAGCAGAAAAAGGCGGAAAACCGCCGGATGGATACGTCCAAGCCAGAAACGTCAGACACACGCAGTCAAATGATAGGGCAATTGTGCTCTAGTGAGGTAGGTTGCTACCGCTTGCTGATTCCTGAACGAGCTCGAGACACGCGACCACGACCTCGTTTTTGTCCTCGAGATGCTGAGAGATCGAAGGAAGCCCGTGAGTTCCCGCTTTCCATTCTACCCAAAGATGCAACAGACGGTCCAGGGGGAGAATCACCATCCTCTATAGCGGAGAGAACCTCAGCTGTTGCGTCGTCATCCTGCGAGAATATAGTCGAGTGAAGGAGCCTCGAAGAACGCGGCGCCTGTCGGTATGGTCTGCGTTTTGGTGAGGCCGTGTTTCGAGTAGAAACAGTCTAAGTAGAAAGATGTAGTGAAAGAACAGGATTGAGTAACAGTGGAATCGTAGCACTGTCGAGTAGTATCCTAGGGGACAAAGGAAAAGAACTTCAAGGAAGACCTCAGAAGGCAAAATACATATGAGAAATTCGAAGTGCTTGCCTCCGCTCTTCGATCATTCGGAGCCCAACAGGTGATATCGTCGTGACCATCTGGTGGAGCTCTGGGTTCTATCGAAATCGAACTTTGAGAAATTGTAACTGATAAGGAGAAGACAAAAGGGAGATTTTTTTTAAAATTCATAGAATTAAGTGTACGGCAAAGTTGGTTTAGTGGAGACCCATCAAAAACAAGGAACTATATTTGTGATCAAATCTAATATGATGTCAGCATATGTGTTATACCAAGAGAAAAGACCACCAATGAGACAAAAGCTTAACCGGGCCCGACGAACTGGTATATACTTGTTGTGGATCGTAGTAGCAAATATTGGAAAATAGAAAGAGATGAATGTGATAGGGCAAGTTTGGTTATATGTCGAGAATTCACATCAAGTCAAATGTGTTAAAACAAGAAGCACAGACTTTCGGCATTCAACAACGGGCTTGAAACAAATGTGAACATCTGTAGTCGGGAATGTGAATGGGGTTTATGCGTTGTTCGCCGGACAAATTAATCGGTCATCTCGGAGAACAAAGAAAAACCAACTTATGGTAATGGGTATTTGAGATGAATTACTCGAGTGTGGTAGAAATACTGGGTACGCAGCGATGAAGATGAGTATTCCAATCGACAAACATACCTCGCTGCTTTAATTTAGATGGTTCAGTTACATCCTATGAAAGTGTCTAATTTACTGCGCCCTACTCGCGCGAGTGCGCTGGAAAAGACGGTGTAGTAGTCAGCTTTTTGCTCGATAAAAGAACATGAAGTCACTGATTTCCATCCTAGTCGTCAGCGGTGCCATTAGGAAGGTCGGCGGTTCGAAAAGTTTGAAGAGAAGACGCGCAAATAACTGGAAGAGCTGTGCGCAATACTGACTTGATTTGAGATGTGTATCCAATTAGAGGAATAGCGAACGATGCCAATTCGTCCATATGAATACAAATCCCAATGTCAGTTACACTAAGCAAAGGTTTTAGGCATTACATGGACTCTGTCGGACACAGTAGCCTCTGATTGGTAGCGCCAGTTGATAAGTGTCCAACTCGGAAACAGAAAAAACAACGCTCCCCGCATACCCTAAGTCGATAACTCGATCGTCATCTGTCGAAACTTCCAGACAAGTTAAGTCATCATCATCATCATCATACACGTTAGCTAGAGGTGGGGAACACCTCAGCTACTGTGTCGCAATACATAGAAAAAAGGAGAGAGAAAAGCAACTGGTGCAAGCTGGCTGAGCTACCGGTAACGGATGGGCATCGTTCCGGTAAGCTACCAGCCGGCTGCTGTGCACCCAAAAAGAAAAAAAATATTATGCAAGATTATATAAGGCTAAATAATGAGATCGTGGTTGGAGGGGGAGGCTGAGGGATGGGGTGGGACAAAGAAACTCACAGCACGAACGCCACTGAGGTCGGCTCCTAGCCATTTCAGCAAGTGTGTCCAACCAAACGTGTTCATCGTACTTTGGACCCCAACCAGGGAGCCGAGACGCTCCAACCAAGGCCAGCTCAGAAGTGAGGGCCTTCATTCCTCTGGACGAAGTCATCGCTTGGCCACCCCACCTCTTCTTCCATCCACACCCCCGGCGAGATAAGTTAAGTAATCATAGCACAATTCTGTCTGATCAGTTAGGGCTGGTAGAGCGACAGGCAAAGCCACAGGAAGACAACGCTGATCTACATCGGATGTCGAGCCGAATGCCACGAGGTTCCCTGCGGTCTCTCGACCGGTTACCAGTATGATTACGGCCCAATCAGTTCAGTTAAACAAATGGGATTTCGGCAAAGAAGTGCCTTGAACGAAGCGTTCAGGAGTTGCCTCCATGAACACAGGAAGAAAATGATAAATGGGAGAAAACGCTAACGCATAGGACGATAAAAGTTATAAGGAGGTAAACAGTGTGTTTCAATTGAGAAAGTTGACGGGCTGCGTACATTCATTCAAAATGTCACTCGCCTATCTCAATCAACACTGTACATCAGGTGGTAATGATGAAGGGAGCTCGGACGCATAAGGGAAAGCTGACTGTACAGAAACCAAAATATACTACTGTTAAATGGACCAGAGGCAAAGAAAGTCAAGTGTCTTGAAAGCAAGTAAAAATAACGGAATAGCAAGAGCGCTGACTACACCAAGCGACTGAATACATGAATTGGACAGTGGTTGCTGAACATAAGCCAGATGAAGAAAAAGCACACTGAACAGACCCCCAAGGAAGTAGGTTTAATAAACATGAGTGATTGTAGATTGCTTCAAAAATAGTGTATTATTGTCATGGAAAACCGACTGCACATGAGTGTTTAAAACGGGTGCTTTAGGACCATACACAACCATGCTGATGGTGGTGACAGAAGAAGGGAGGGACCTGGTGCAAGATGTTTACCCAAAAACAAAAGAAAAGACGGCACACCAACAATTTGGACTGATGTTTCGCTGCAGTGAAACCAAAAAGATCTAGAGGATGGGAAATAGTAATGGAGGAAAAATATGGACTTGGTGCAGAGCCTAAATGCTCCCAGGTAAACAGCCAGAGTCCAGGTGCTTACACATCGTCAAAAAAAACACGGCCATGTGACATAGTAGTTACTAAAGCTGAGAGACAAGACTCGTTGCATATAAAATTAACATAAGGCTCCTGTTAAAATATTGTAGGGTTAGGTTCAGCGATTGATATAAATGCGACGTGGAAGCCATAGAAAAGGTCCAACGCACCTACACCAAATGCATCTTTGGTTACTCAACACTTGTTCCTTATAAAGACAGATGTAATGAAGCAAGATTTGAGCGCAGATTACATTTAAATCGTGATTTCCTTCACAAAGTTGTGTGGCATGAATTGCATAGTGAAAACCACTACGCAATTTTGATTGGAAATTAGATATAACCCTTTCGTACACGAGATGTACAAAGGTATAGCGCGATGATCGTGTGTTATATATCCGGTACGAGACTAGACGGCCAACCAAAGGCAATGGGTAGAACACATAAAAGTCAAGCTAGGGAAAATGTTTATTGGACGGGAGGAGAGTTAGCTAATGCCAAACATAGGGCACCAGAAGAGAGGTAGCTAGGGAGGATGTAATTGGGCGCCGAGTGCGTGGACAGAGCATCGTTCGCAGTCGAGTCGCGCGTGCTAAAGGCGGATATCGTGTTCGTGTTGCAACCAAACGGGAACAACGTTCCAACGGGCAAACCGCCTAATTAACTAGTACATAAGGAAGCTATAATTTTAATGTATTTTAGAACAGTTTACACAGTCAAACGGGGGAATCACCAGATCACTACATGTGTACACATGCAAAATGATTTTACACTGTTAATATTGGGCCAGAAACATTTCGATTCACATTGTATGTAAACAGGTACAACTGTCTATTTCCGGAACATTTCATTTCGTTTCTACACCTATGTAGAAATTGTAATCTCAAAGTAGCGTCTCAGAGAAAAAACACCACCTGGTGGGTGTGTTTTGTCCTCTCTTCTTACAACGATATCAGTTTTTAAGTGAAGATGCTCATTCCGTGTGACTAACAAACTGCATTCTTGTTGTTGTGGTGCCTTTATTATGTTAAAGAGCACAGTATACAGTGAATAAATTTTATCGTGATGTACAAAAGGTACACACTGCGACCGAATGAAGGAGCTTACGGCAAAGTTAGCCGTGGTCAGGCGCTCTCGGCTCCCTGGCTGAGGTGTGTGGAGGATCCGGAACACAAATGGCTGGAAACACTTTCGGATATGGCAAGAAACTGTGCGCAATGGCGAACCTGTTATGACTCTCTATTTCCATCAACAGCGTATTTTTCCTCTCCCTTCGTGATCGTACTTTGCTCCATCGAAATGCAAAGTACTTCTCCAAGATTGGCAGGGACCCATCCCTGCGCTAACGCTTGGTGGTGGTCAGCTAGAAGTCGTTCAGGAATTCACGTACTTGCGCAGCTATATTAGCGCCGGTGGGATCGAAGAGGAGATTACGAACCGTATGGCAAAAGCTCGAGGTGTTTTAACCAATCTCCGCCACCCGTGACACCGACGTGACATTACACTCGCTCTGAAGGGCAGAGTTTATAACGCAGCTGTCCGTTCAACCCACCTATATGATTGTGAAACCTGACCCATCAGGCCGACAGACATAAAGAGGCTCGTCATATTCGATCATCGCTGCTTTCGCAGCTTAGCTTATGTCTGGTGGGAGCACCGCGTGAGCAATGAGCGCGTTCGGCGTCGCGTATTTGGTGAAGGAAGAGCGAGTTAACCGCTCAGCACTATTGTATCAGGCACCGGGGTCTGATGGCTGGGCCACTTGTTGCGCATGCCAGCACACCGACACCTGCGACGAATCGTTTGTGCGCCGGGGGTGCGGTTGGAAGAGAAGAGACCAAGAGATGACTTGGTTGAGAGGAATAAAAACCATCACTTCGAAACTGGCGTCGGTTGGTGCATCCCGACTGCCGGGCTTGGGTCCGACAGACGATGAACACTTTCGGTTGGACACACTTGCTGATATGACTAGGAGCCCGCCCCAATGGCGTTTGTGTAGTTAGTTCCTTTGTCTATCCCTCCCCTTTAGCTTCCCCTCCAATCCTGATCTCATACAAAATGCATAACATCATATTTTTTGTAGCTTGATTTTTTAGTCTCTTATCTTTTGGTATTGCGACACGTTAGCTGAAGTGTGTTTCTCACCCTCAGCCAACGTGTACTCATGATGATGATGATGAGGACTTCGTGACCGAATGGAGTAAAAGTTTGGATACCTGAGCATGGTAGTGACGTGCTACATATGGAGGTTTTAGGTGGTTTTGAATGCACTTTTTACTGATTATTGCTATATCGTATTATTTTATTTATTGTTTAATAGTCATGAGACGTTACCTTCTCCTGCTGGAGTTAAAATTATAAAAATTGAGAAATCATCTTTTAATTGCCATTAGGCAGAAACAGGAATACGCTTGACAATGGATGAGTTGCTGCAACGTTTGAATGCATCCGATTTGGAGTTATGCTTTATCCCGCGGGACCTGATCTGCTATGCGGTGCGGATAATAATTGAAATAAAATCGATGAAGTTGAAAAAGAAAATCTTGAACAT